GAACTGAGGTGGCGTCGCATTGGGGTCATATTTCACATCACTAGGAATCAGCTATCGTAACTGTTAGAAAATATTACATCGCAGCCATGTGGTGACGTACATGGGCTGAAACAAACAGCTGCAGAGGTCCTGCGTGAGCGAAGAAGCCTTGTGGGTTAATAGAGTGCACAACTGCATCGACCTGACTGAAGTCAGACTCCTAGGTCATTAATCCTCGGCAGTGAAGGCCTTACCGTCTCGCCTTTGAATGGCCGCCATACTACGGCACGATATCCGACAGTAAATTCAGCCATACCAAGACCGGGGAGGATTCGTCCTTCAGAGATTTCGAAAGCGTCCATGATGGAAATGATGAAGTAGCTGCCAGCGCATGTGCCTTCAACGTCCTTCAAGAGCTTCGCGGTCACGAGGTCGTGCATGTTGCGACCCATGAAAGAAGGGTGCAAGGTGACCTTGCGCTCCAAATTATAAAGAAAAAACATGGCGAAGAGCGATTTCGGGGAGAAGCGAAGATATCGATGGTAAGCGAGTGGGCGGTTTCGGTTGGCAATGAAGTTGCGATATTGCAATATGTTCGATGGCCGACTAGAGCACGAAAACGGGTGTGTGTTCGATCAAGCGAGAGATTAAGCTAATAACTACCGCTTCGTAGGGTTCTGCGATCAATCGAGGGAGGGCGCCGGGCGAAAGCGCGTACGAAAAGGAACGAGACGTAGTGACAGCTTGGCATAGGCTTAGAAATGAAGCGCGCCGAGGAGTTGCGTATCGCTCGCTGAAGAGAGATGAGAGGGGAAAATATATTAAGAGAAAGGCCCTGACGTGTCAAGTCAAAATATGACTGCTGACCTTCTTGACGCGAGCGCAGAGGGAGGTTGTTTATTCCTTGGGTGAAAGAATGCCAAGTGAGGTGGAAGTTTGGACAATGAAATCGACGAGGCTGAGCTGGCCCATGCGTTCCTATGAGACCTGCCCAATCAGAGTTCGTGGGCTTTTCAGCCACATGTGTGGCGTCTAAGCGATAGCTGCCTTATCACACCTCAACCTCAACGACATGGGATTTTAGAGAATATCATTTTCGGATACGTACTGAATGCGAGACTTGAGTATAGAGAGGCATTTTAAGTTTATTGAGTCATGTGTAGGTAACAAGTAAATAGATGCTACTCTAAACAAAATTCACTGGCCCCCCTATCATACGCTCACAAAACACCTAGTGTCAACTTAACTGGCTGAGAGTTTCCATTGATGAAAGCTTCAATACAGACCGGTGGAGTAGGTTGGTACCTGAAAGGAAGAATATCTGCCAAAGACGCAATACTCTAGCAGAATATGGCCTATCAGGCCGAATGATTATCACTGAGAGGCATACACGAAGTCTTGAGTGGAGGTTTCGGCCTCGGCTTCAACCTCTCGCAACCGGACTCTTCCAGAATAAAACCCGGATGGGATGTGGTACGATTCAAGGGAAGCGAATGGAAGCCTCTCCGAACCTTGTCCTTCGTCCTCCTCTTGAGATATTAATCGGCACCAAAATTCTAAAAACCTGGGGAATAAACAAGGGCGATGAGATTCCGACCAATACAATAAGACTTCGTATATTCCTTGTCGACATTGACTGGCTTGTGTTTGATGGAAGGCGCAACCACCCGAGTAAAAGGAGACAAGCACACGACGTGCTGGAAGGCATAGTGGACATGGGGCAAGGGGTGAAAGAAAGGAGCTCCAAAATGGAAGTTACTGTACGGACTTGGGACCCACCCCGAGCAGCTGCGGCGGTGCATCCAAGCGGGTCTTCTAAGGTTAGGGAGGGAGTTGAGGATCAGAAGTGGCAGCAGCCAGTGGACACAGGCTCGCAAAAATGGAAAGCACATGAAAACGAACAACTCATCACTGTAGAAAGCCACTCACTCACACTCTTTTTACCGTATTGTGCCTGCCGTGCCATATCATACCTGCGTTGCCTTCGGCCTTTGCCAACCTTCGATTTCTTGGCTCGTCTTGTTTTCTTCTACTCATTCTTTATTACTGCAGGATCCTGCCTTTTGAAGCCTTTGCAGCCCTTCTAATTTGACGGACGCACCTCCTGCGTCAAAACGAACCTGGGAAGGAGGTCATCCCGTCATCCCGTCTCGGACTGTGATACCTCGAGGTAACACACAATCACCTTAACTACTACCTACCAGGTACACCTACCCAACCAAGTTGTAATCATCTTCATCATTCATCCATCACAAGAAAGCATCCTTTACCTTACCCACGCAAACTTGCATTCGGTCGCCCTGGGATCTCTTCTTTTTGGATTCAGATCCACAACTGTAGCCTCAGAAATCATCAAACTGCATAGACCAGCAGCTCACGGACCACGTCAAGCCGAGTTCATCGCTCGTCAAATTGTCAGATTCAAAGCAGCTTGATAGGCTTTTTGTCTCCTCACTTTTCATACTCTCAGTCTGCTACAACTCTCGTGTCGTCTCTGTTGAGGGGGCCCTTACTCATCATGTCTCTGGATCTTGAACAGCACCTCACCTTTGTAAGTCACATTTCGATACGCCATTTATCATATGTCGAAAATCATACTAATATGCGGTAGTATGGTGCTTACCACCATAACTCGGTTAATGTCGCCATCCACATGGTTTGCGTCCCCCTCATCCTCTTATCGGGGTTCTGTATGGTTCGTCTCTTCATGTCCTCGCCGGCTTATGCATGTTGCGTTGCTCTGCATCTGCTTTCTTACCAGAACTCCATCTGACATTTCTCCAGGCCACATACACCGGCACTCTCGTTCCTACACCATCTTGGATCACTCCCCCTTATCTGGACCTCAACCTTGGTGTCATTGGTGCCAGCCTTTATTCCTTGCTCTATCTGCTCTTGGAGCCCTTTGCAGGCTTCCTTCTGGCTCTTTTTTGTATGGGGGGTGCAGCACTTGGCAACTACTTCCATCAGCAAAACCCTGACACCACTTTTCAGGGTGCTCTGGCTATCCATGTTGTCTGCTGGATCTTCCAGTTTATTGGTCATGGTAAATATGAAGGGCGTGCCCCTGCTTTGCTCGACAACCTCATCCAGGCCGTCTTCCTTGCCCCTATGTTTGTATGGCTTGAGATACTCTTCAAGTTTGGATACCGACCAGAGCTCCGATCTCGTGTCAACAAGAAAGTCCAGGTCGAGATTGAGAAATTCAGGTCAAAGAACGGCAAGGCCCAATAGAGCAATCATCTCAGCCCAATCTACTTCCCTGATCTTGAGCATATAAGATGGTCCGTCAGACGACCAGTGCTCCGGATACTGCGTTGTAGAACCAGCTTCAACATCGAGACAAACCACGTTCTGACGTGTCCCCGCTTACATTTCAGATACCATCAATCGATGATCAGTAGCGAGCACCCAATCTATCGTCATTGGACCTCATTGCACGGAATACGACAGTATTCTTTTCGCCGCCGCGGAGACGAAGGTGGCATTGGTGATCTCACCCTTTTGTTTACTCGCGCATTTGATGCTCTTGAGAGCGGATTCGTTTGCTTACACGACCGTTAGGTTGTCCTGAGACTCATGAAATCGGCACGTGAAATACAAGGAGAAGGTCAGGAGGTGGATCAGTCCAGGTAACAGCCTCAGCATCATATGGAGTGTATGGAGTTGTTTTGTTTGCAATTAAATAACAGTTTACATCAAGCACGTAGTAAATTCATCAATATATTCGTATCATTTATCAATGGGCATCATTCACATTATATTCATCCAGGAACAAACGTTATATTGCTATCTAATCTTCTTCACGATGCCGTTCTCAAGGCCATTTCGGTCCGTGTTGGTCTGCTAATAAAGGCAGGTTTGCTGTATATTGTTAATTTAGAGCTCATATTCGTCATCAACATGACAAAACTGTATCTCTATCGACTTGGGTCGTTCAGCAGGATGGTGAACATGGACCTGATATTCTCGAACATGATCTAGACGCTTGCAAGTTTGATCGTCTCCCTGTTGAATAACAAGCAGAAAAACCTCACCGCCTCGATCACCATCGATGCCTTGTGGAGGCTCCGAGGAGAGAGAGGGCGCACGTCGAAGCTTGTTAGGGATCCCAGCCTCATCTAAGCTTTATGACTCTAGGTCGTGGTAAACCATACGCAGGCAATTCGTTGCGCGGCTGCGTTGTAGGCTCGGCTGACCAGCTTCACGGTGTCTTGGCGGACACAGGCGTCGTTGGTTTGGACGTTTTCGGTCGGTCTCCAACCCTGAGCTGCCCGAGTTAGTCATCTTAGATGCTCGTACTGGCCAAGCAAGTATCACAGGGATAGTCCGGGCGTTGTTGGCCTTCTATCTTGCGTTTGCAAGGCCTGACTGGGCACAGCCAGTCCAGAATGGGTCGAAGAAACTGCTTTTGTCGGGCCTTGATCTTTTGGCAAGGGACTGGCATATACCTCATGTGATGACACTTGAAGCTGAAGATCTGCTGGCACATGTTAATGCTGGTGTTTTCAAGTTAATGTATGGATCAGGCGTGAAGTATTACTTTTGTTGGTTATCTTGTGACGATGGGGGCACTGGCTTATATTATACTTGTCCCTGGTTTATCTTGTCGGCAAGTGTCAGACGAACATCTCCATTGTTCGGGCGTAATTGCAAAAGCTAGAGAGTGAATCTGCGAGAGGCCTGGTCTGTGTATATGTTCTTTTTTGTTTTCAGCTAATTCCTTTGTTACGGTCATCACTGTGCATTTGAAAGGGCCCGGGCTTGTCAATGACATGAGGAGTTGCTTTGGTAAAGTCTGTCCTGTATTCTGTTGAAGGATGAGAAACTGAACTACCTTACAATATGGAATCAATCAACACAAATAAGCTCCTATGTCAATAAAATACGGGTATGTTCGCCGTGTTAACTCCCAACCCATAGTTAGTTGACTAGAACAACTAGAGTCGAGAAATTCGTTCTTCCTTTTCGGTCTTTGAGGCATTGAACTTCATCTCGTTCTCGTGCTTCAATCTGCTCTGCTACTTCTGTAGCTTCGCGTCCATTTCCTTCTGAAGCTCGTGTTGAATAATGTCCAACTTCTGCTCCCTCTCCTGCTGGGCCTTCTCATGGCGATTAGTCTGTAGGGATGAGCATCGTACGCGTATATAAACATGGTTGCTGTATAGTTGTATGTCTTCACTGACCTCGTTGGCAAGATGTTGCGGAGTTGCAACAGCATATTGCTTTCCCTCGCTGGAGTACAAATATCTGAACTTTCCATCCTTGGAGACCTTTGGTCTGTTGTGTTCTGGCCATAGATATGGCTTCTTCTCCTCCTCCCCCTTCTCTTCGTCTCGCTTCTGGATCATTCTGTATACTCTCTTAATCCTCTTCTTTGCATCTTCCCCGTCGTCACTGTCGCTGTCGCTGTCGCCCTCACTCTCATTGTCATATTCCTCGTGTTCCTTGTCCTCGTCTTTATCTTCTTCAGTGTGTGGCTTAATAGAGTCACGTCACATAGATGGAACCATCCCTGGGTTTTCGATAATTTGAGTATAACCGGTGGGGTTTTCTATCTCGGTCTCTCCCAGGGTTTTGTTGAAGTTTTTAAGAAGCGCCTTGGCCAAAGTCTTCTCATGCTCAGAAACTTCCATCTTGTCGAGTGAGACGTATATGTGGCTGTCGGGTTTTGGAGGTTTATACTCATGTTCGGTCTTGTTTCCAGACTGGCGAGTCTGGTTCAACTTTGGCTCGTTCTCTTCGGTGTCTGGTCTCTTTTGTATGATGCGCCTAGCCACAAAGGAGCTGTTTCTGGTCGCTGGAGCTGAAAAGGGACTAGATTCAAGAGGGTATCTAGGATCGTCCCTATAATGATCAACAGGCTCAAGGCGAGGGAAGTCGCTGTCTTTGAGCTTTTCGCCCAGTCCTCCAGTTCTGTTATGTTTCACCAATGGTGAAGCGAAGACAGCTCCGACCAGGAACCAGGTCAGCACTATGAAGATATTGATTTCCATTCTGGTCAGCGCGTGGGTGTTGTATGTGCTGCGTATGGTTCATGGCCAGATAAGAAACAGAGGGTTTTCTGAAGCAAGGCAGCACATTTTACTTATACATGACTAAGGCTTGACATAAATTTGACTTTCATCATCACATATCACGTCAACAAAGCTTGTATGGTTACGAATCATAGACACGGAGACCAAATCATTGAATCAAAAAGTTTGTCTGATCCATCTTGTCCACTCATTGGGTATACTGATCTTGGTTTCATGTTCTCGGTGTACGCCTAATTTTGCCGGTGTCTGCACTATTGGATGCATAAAACTGTGTCGGCGTTACTCAGGAAACATTTGGAACATTCTTTGGGGTTGAGTTATGTCGAGATTGGTTGGTATTGGTGATGTACAAGCACACCCTGTGTATGTATTGTCTGTCCCTACTGCGCTTATCGTGACTAATTCCAGTATATATTTTCTTGTCCGGTCGATACTTGGAGCTTCTCTATTCAGTACGAGTGATAGATCATACAGGGAGAATTTCGATGCATCGTAGCTCAGTATCTCAACTAGGCCATGTTGTCGGACGAGAGAAAAGGCCAAAAACCAATTGGTATCCCAGAATAGAGAATTACGCTTCTGGGAGATCTGCAGTTTAACGGAATGGCCAATGGGGTCATCATTTGCTCGCTCTTTTGTCATTTTGGTGATAATTTTGTACTCGATCAACTGAGCTCGCCTACTTGCAGATTCGAACTTTTGCGAGGAACACTATGGTTACTCTGTGGCTCCCAAGTAAAATTCAGTTTATACTTATGCAGTTTTAATACTCCCTATTATCGTCTAGGAGATTCCGTCGCCTTCGTTCTTTTCCAAATATCGAATCATTTTCTGTTGTCAAGGTTCACTCTTGTAGGTGCTGAACCTTGCTGAATACCTTGAGGTAGCATGTTAGCAAATACTATAGGGTAAGCTCATGATAGTTGGATATCATAGAAATCAATGGGATGATATGTTTTGTCGTATTGGGTCAAGCACAACGTTATCAGCGGCGGTTTCGGGATTCCGGCATTTTTCTGCCCGTCTCGATGCCTTTTTTGACGATCGGGTTGTTCAGTGTCTATCGGAATATCGCATCCTGAGCGGATCTCCTGTGGGTTCAGTGCGTGTTCCCGTACCTAGCTCTCGTGAAGCCTAAATGCACCTCTGATGTCCTCATGTTCAACAACCAGGATGTACTAATCAGCAGCTTGATCTAGCCAGTATAGTACCACTGCTGTAAGTTTGAGAGTAAGAGGACTTACAGTTGATAATTCACAACCGTATATCGGACTCACTATTCGGAACCTCGCATGACTCAGAAAAACTCCGCCAGCGGCCCTATCACCGCCAAAGCGCAGAATAGCGGCGGCACAGGCGGTACGTATCTCCGCCAATTCCGCCGATGCCACCAAAGTGGACGGCGATGTCGGGGCATTTCATCATTAGCCTGGGAGAATACTACACCGCATTGGCTGTTTTACTTTTTTTCAATGGGTCAAAAAGAACTTGACACCTCTTCCAGACGTCTGTGAGCACCAGTAGAATTACTTTCCTTGCTGCTTACAACCGTTGCTCTGCTGTGTCCTTGTTTGTCTCTTGTTGGCCAGGGTTCAAGCTGTGTTGTAGTATGTATGTATGTACTTGAAGGGTCGCCGTAACCGGACCCATAAGCTTAGCTTGGCTTGATCTGGGGAGTTCAGCAAGGATGATAAGCTGTGAGGTGATGTTCGGTATCTGGCTGCAGGTACAGTCAGTGTGGGATATGCTCAACAAGATACACAAAAATTAAAAAGAGAAGCCCTGATCGTCAGAGCCAAAACGGGACAACATAATGCATCAAAGTTGGGTGTTACAGAACTCGTGCCTTGGATTCTCCACGAAAGACCCTTGAACAAGACACTAGTGAGGGACGATCTCCATCGAATCTTGGTAAATTTTCTCACCTATTACGGCCGAAATGTTGGGGCAGTTCCATTTAGTCTGTAGATAGCAATCGGAGGTATCTATCCACTATTGAAGTGCTATGGAGCTACTTTGTTAGCTGTTCCTGGGCCTGGGCTGAGCTGCGTCACAGCCCAGTCCAGCACAACTTTTTGTAGAGTCACACACCAAAACTAGAGAATAATTTTCAGAGGTTCTTCTTATCTTATCAGCCGTACCGCCATTTTTCTTCACGGCGGGCCGCCCTACTTATCCCCATCCCCCCCTCCTCTAGAAACCAGTTCCAACAGAGTCACAGTCTCTTGTGTCCTTCCCATACATCGACATATCCTAGACGCTTGATTCGGGATACAGAAGGGCAACCTCGCCAGCGGGACGGTTCAACTTACGCATTGATACGTGCAAATTATCCGCTGCAATGCCTCTCAACTTCAACCTGGCAACCACTCTCGCTGGTCGAGCTCCGGCCCTGCTCCGTCATGGACGCAGGGTCCCGCGAGCTTTGCCCTCTCGCTCATTCTCCTCCGTGAGCCCTCTTTCAGCATCCGCATCATGCCGAGTCTCAATCGCATCTGCCCGCCCCGCCAACTCGAAGCGCCTGGGCACCCTCAAGGTTATGCGCGCCTACAGCTCCGCCGCTGTTCAGGATGCACCCAACCCCAAGGCCTACCTCGACAGTGGAGTCATCAAGCCTCACCAGACCGTTGATGTCAAGAAGGTTCTTGTCATTGGAAGTGGTGGTCTTGCCATTGGACAGGCCGGAGAGTTCGACTACTCAGGTTAGCATACCCAATACGCAGTGACGCACATCTCACCGATGAACTCGCGATTCACCACCAAAACTCATTTTTGATCATTCAAAATTAACACACTCGAAATATAGGTGCTCAGGCTCTCAAGGCCCTCAAGGAAGCCGGCGTTGCTTCTGTCCTCATCAACCCCAACATCGCTACCATCCAGACCAACCACAGTCTGGCTGACGAGGTCTACTACCTCCCCGTTACCCCCGAGTATGTCTCCTATGTCATCGAGAAGGAGAAGCCAGATGGCATCTTCCTATCCTTCGGTGGCCAGACTGCCCTTAACCTTGGTGTTGAGATGCAGCGACTCGGCCTCTTTGAAAAGTATGGCGTCAAGGTCCTCGGCACCAGTGTCCGAACTCTGGAACTGAGCGAGGATCGTGACCTCTTCGCCAGGGCTCTGGATGAGATTAACATCCCCATTGCCAAGTCGATTGCTGTCGGCACTGTCGAGGAGGCTCTCGAGGCCGCCGAGACCGTCGGATACCCTATTATTGTCCGTGCCGCCTATGCTCTAGGTGGTCTGGGTTCCGGTTTCGCCAACAACGAGGAGGAGCTCCGCAACATGGCCGCTCGATCTCTTACCCTCTCTCCCCAGATCCTCGTCGAGAAGTCGCTCAAGGGCTGGAAGGAGGTCGAATACGAGGTCGTTCGTGACGCCAACAACAACTGTATCACTGTGTGCAACATGGAGAACTTCGATCCTCTTGGCATCCACACTGGTGACTCCATTGTAGTTGCGCCTAGTCAGACTCTGAGCGACGAGGAGTATCACATGCTTCGAAGCGCTGCCATCAAGATTGTCCGACATCTTGGTGTTGTTGGCGAGTGTAACGTCCAGTACGCTCTCCAGCCTGATGGTCTCGACTACCGTGTCATTGAGGTCAACGCCCGTCTTTCCCGATCCTCTGCCCTGGCCTCCAAGGCTACTGGATATCCTCTTGCGTACACTGCTGCAAAGATCGGTCTCGGACATACCCTTCCCGAGCTCCCCAACGCTGTCACCAAGACCACCACTGCCAACTTCGAGCCTTCCCTCGACTACATCGTCACCAAGATTCCCCGATGGGATCTCTCCAAATTCCAGCACGTCAAGCGCGACATCGGCAGTGCTATGAAGTCTGTTGGTGAGGTCATGGCTATCGGCCGAACCTTTGAGGAGTCTTTCCAGAAGGCCATTCGTCAGGTTGACCCCCGATTTGTGGGTTTCCAAGGTGATAAGTTCGATGATCTCGACTTTGAGCTCCAGAACCCTACCGACCGCCGATGGCTCGCTGTTGGCCAAGCCATGCTTCACGAGAATTACTCTGTTGACAAGGTCCACGAGCTGACCAAGATTGACAAGTGGTTCCTCCACAAGCTGCAGAACATCGTCGACTGTACCCGTGAGCTTGAGCAGGCTGGTGGTCTTCAGAGCCTGAAGAAAGATCAGGTCCTCAAGGCCAAGAAGATGGGCTTCTCTGACCGACAGATCGCCATGGCCGTCAAGAGCACTGAGGACGAGGTCCGAGCCTACCGTCTCAGCTTCGGCATCCGACCCTGGGTCAAGAAGATCGACACCCTGGCCGCCGAGTTCCCCGCCAACACCAACTACCTCTACACCACCTACAACGGCTCTACTCACGATGTCACTTTCGAGGACAACGGTACTATTGTCCTTGGTAGCGGTGTTTACCGAATTGGTAGCTCTGTCGAATTCGATTGGTGTGCTGTCAGCGCCACTCAGGCTCTCCAGCAGATGGGTGAGAAGACCATCATGATCAACGTAAGTTTATATTCTCCCTTCCGTCCCAATCAAGCGTTCCTTCCTTATGCGGTGTTGCCGTGATCGCGGCCCCACTTCGCCGAAAACGGCCCCACTTTACACCGGACCTTTTCAAATCTCATCCTAAATCTCCTCACAACTTCTATAATCATTTTAAGGGGCTTTGACTAATATTTGACGATAGTATAACCCAGAGACGATGAGCACAGACTTCGACTCGGCTGATAAGCTGTATTTCGAAGAGCTGAGCTACGAGCGTGTCATGGATATCTACGAGCTTGAGAATTCGAAGGGTGTCGTTGTGTCCGTTGGTGGCCAGCTTCCCCAGAACATTGCCCTCAAGCTCCAGGAGACTGGTGGGGCTAATGTCCTTGGAACTGACCCCAGGGATATTGACAAGGCCGAGGATCGTCAGAAGTTCTCTGAGATCCTTGACAGCATTGGTGTCGACCAGCCTGCCTGGAAGGAGC